TCACTAAGGGAAAATCTTGCCTTACAAATATTTTGACATTCTTTGAAAAGGTTACTACTGATGTAGATGAGGCTTAGGGTGTAGATTTGGTTTATTTGGATTTTCAGAAAGCATTCAACAAGGTACCACATAAAAGGCTTGTAAAAAAAATTATCGTTATAGGTGTGGAGGATAAGTTAGCAAATAGGATAGAAGAGTAGCTGGATGGAAAAAAGCAGAGGGTTGTTACAAATGGAATTCGGTTAAACTGGATTGATGTCACAAGTGGAGTACCTAAGGGCTTAGTCTTAGGACCTTTGCACTTTTTAACTCGCATCACTGAATTAGATGATGGAATAGTCAATAAATTACTTAAATTTGGAAATGATATTTAGGTCTTGTGTGTTGCTAGCTGTGAAAAGGATGCTGCTGATTTAGATCATTTAGTGAGTTGGGCAAATAAATGGCAGATGGGTTTTAATTATAATAAAGGCATGTGAGTTACCATAATTTGAATTATAGGTATAATTTGGATGGAAATAACCTTAACATTGTCATGAAAGAAAGGGATTTTGGTGTAATAAAGTGTATAAAGCCACCTAAACAATGTGCTGTTGTCAGTGGTAGGGCAAGTAGGATTTTAGGTTGTATCTACAGATATATTGAATACAAGTCTAAAGAGGTTATAATGTCATTGTATAGGTCATTGTTAAGGCATATTTGGGTTATGTGTTCACTCTTGGGCTTCTTACCCCAGAAAGGACATTGAACTGATAGAAAGGGTTCAGAGGAGGGTTACTAGGATGTTACCTGAGATGTGAATGTTATAATATGAGGATAGGTTAAGACCTCTGAACTTGTTTTCTCTTGAAAAAAGAAGAAGAGTTAGAGGGGACCTGATTGAGGTGTTAATGGAATTGATAGTATTGAAGCATAATCTTTTTTCACATTTAATGGTGAGAATGGTAAAAGTAGGAGATACAAATATTAATTTTGGAAAGGAAGAAGTCATCTTCGCCTAAATAGCTTTATTTTTCTTACAGGATGGTTAGGCTCTGAAATGTGTTGACTTTAGATGTGATGATGGATGCAGTTAACTTAAGGGAATTTAAGGAAAAACTAGATAAAAATTTGAATTATAATGGTTGGTTTTGAGGTTCGTTTTCTTAGGGTGTAGTTTAATTTAGTAGATAAGACAGACTAGATGGACCAAAAGGTCCCTTGTCTTTTAATGTTATATGTTGTTATAGCCATACCATACAATTTTGTGAACACAAAATTAATTGCTACTTTAAAAGTTTTTTTGCATTTGGTGTCATTATTAAATAGTACTTAAAATTTACATACTTTCTTTCAATCAACCATGTTGTTATTATAGTACATTTATTTAAACAGTTGCTAATCAACAAATACAAACCCTTAAAAGAGCAACATACCTCTTTAGAAAGCAGTATACCACATTCCCTTCTCATTACTCTGATTACATATAAGTACCAGTCAGAACACTTAGCTACTTTCCACTTAATTGAGTCCATTAAGAATTTCATTTTCTTTTGATATAGAGACTATAGTGTAATCAAGCTATATTTATGCTACCTTGATAAACATTAATTAATATTGTTATGGTGTGAACACCTTTTACAAGCTGGCAAAACATGATTATAATTATATTTGTGATAAGACATTAGTATTATCTTCCAATTAGAAAAAGCTACTTACTTAAATAAAAACTAAGAATCAACCTAATAATGGGTATAGTTAATTGAATATACTTTCCATATGTTCTGCTTATAAACATTAGAATGTATTTTCCAATACAATATCTTATCTCCTCTCACAGAAAGCTTTCTCAGTTAGTACTGCCCTCTGTTGGCACACATTTTTTGCTTGCCACTAGACTTGTAACTCCTACTTCTTTCTGTATATCTACATGAAAATGATCATGCAGCAACCCTCCACCAATAGGAGTGCAAAACTACTCCTATTTTAACTAGCATCTTTTTAATAATTCACATGTTAATAACCTCTCAATTGGCAGTCTTACTGTTAAGACATGTTTGTTTTGGAGTTTATACTTTGTAAGTATGCACTAATGGATTTAAGTAGTTACTACAATCATTGCTGTTCCTGCTTCCGTTATCAGCCTATGACGTGATTACTATGATAATGCAACATTCACCACCACCTGAGGAGTATTCTGTCATACAATCACCTGATGCATCTGACAGGGAGGATGAAAATTTGTACAGCCTTTTTCCCCCTCCTGAATACACTTCTCAGTCATGTGTCATATCGGTGGACTTGCCTCATCAGTATGCCTCATCCTCCACTTACATTGGAAAATCATGTTTTTGCTTTTCATCATGCCAACTACCCCCGATTTAGACTCCTAACACTTGGAAACTCTTATTCCTGTGTAGGGGTTCAGACCCTAATACTTCATTTTACTTTTCCCAACCTTAATTTTCCCATCTTTGTCTTACTATGTCTACTATTCTCCGTGCCTTATCCTCCCTTTATATTTTGATGGAAGCTATTCATCAGTCTCCAGAGGAATTTTGTGATGAATCTCGTAGTCTTCTATTTGCTACCATAGCATGCCCCTTTTCTTCAGGCATAGCTTTAAAGACATGGCTGATATGCTTTTGGGATGTTTTTGGATTGGATGCTCTTTTATCCAATTCTTCCTTGCATGATTTGCACATGGCACCATTTTTCTTGGAACAGGTGCTTGGGGGGGGGGTCTTCCCAATAATTTTATAGTCCATGATTGAATCAGCCCATCTACATACCTCCCTTTCCTCATTGGCTTCAGAATTGGTAACTTGGTTCTCAAGTCAGGGCCAGACTCTTACACTTTGCTCATGTTTGAAGGTATTTTACAGTCAATCTATTCTTTTCCCCTCTCCGTGAGATCCCGTTTCATGCCAGCATTTATCTGCAGAGGTTCAGGATTTACTTCATAAGGGTGCCATTGAATGAGGAGATCTTTCTCATCCAGGGTTTTATTGTTGTGTATGTTGGTTATGACACTCCTCCATATCTATCAATGTGTGTATGTATATATATTATTTTGCAGTTTGCCCCTCTGACTGAGATATTCCTCCTTCCTACCATCCTCCAGATGTCGGTTCCTGGTTAGGTCAGGTGTTGGATGGAGATGGTCCAACTACATAATTCCTTGTGTTTGGCTGGTTCCCTCCTCCCAATGCCATCAGGTTTTGAACTGGAGATTTTTCCAAATTTGATTTTCCTCTTCACCTTCCTATCATCTGCTGGATGTTGGTTTCTGGTAGATCTGGTGTTATTTGAAGTTTGACGAAACACGATTACCCACATGTGTAAGGCTGGCTTCCTTGTCCCTAACGTGGAGTGGATATAACATACCCATTGCTGTTAGGTGTTGGACTGAGGATGAACACCTCCTGGATGTTGGTTCCCGGTGGATCTGGAGTTGGTTTTGTTGGAAGTACACACATGCAGAGCTGGGTTCTAGGTACAGGGGCTTGTATTCCTGTCCAGTACCTGTTTTTGAGATGACAGGTAGTGGACCCTCTTCCTACTGCAGACCTGATGTACAATTCCAGATGCCATCAGCTGTTGTTTTAGGTCGAACTCCCATTTATGGTGTGTCATGCCTTAGCCTCTCAACACTTAGGGTACCCTTTATTGCTGATAATATATTAGGAACCTTCCATGTTTCCACCCTTCCAATTTTGGTGATACATTCCTGTAGGGCAAGGAGTATACCTGGCTCAGAAGTGGTGCAGTTTCCCACTGGTGTGATTGTTTTAATTCCTTATCACACTTCATTGTTTTTCTTTGGGCACTTTCTCAAGGAGGATCATATTCTCACCAGCCTTAAACCAATTAAATGTGGGATTCTAGCTTTTGTGAGAGGAGGTAAGATACCATATTGGAAGTTTACATTTTCCTAAACTGAAAATGTATTTCTGAATAGATACTTATCACTTCTCACATTTCTCGCCCATCTTCTCTACTTTCAGTGTATTGGTTGACTTGGACATGACCAATCTCAAAGTGATTGATAGGTGCATTATTTGAGAGTGTGTTAGTTATGTTTGGGGTGGTGTTGTATCCCTATTGATGGAAGGCTGCTGCATGATCATTTGCAGGCAGATATGCAGAAAAAAGTGGGAGTTATAAGGCTAGTTGCAAGGGAAAAATTTGCAACAATAGAGGGCAGTACTAATCGAGAAGTATCTGTTCGGAAATAGATTTTCAGTTTAAGAAAATGGTAAGGTTTCATCAGGTGGGTAT